ATCTGAAATGACTATACCCATTTAATTCTACCATTGTGGATCATTACGAAATACGGACCTACGGTTCAAGAGATTTTTTAATTTTACCTTATGAAAAAATTGCACATCGATAAAAACTCATCAATCAGAGATGACATTTACAGGGTGAGATGGAAAAACTGCAACCAACTTCAGACTGCTGTCATTTCTAAGCCACTTGTCCGACAGCTGTTAAAATTATTCCAGTGACACCTCATTATATTGTTTACAAGCGTACAAAAGCATTGTGGTGAGAATTTTCTAGAAAGAAAAAAGTAATTCGTGATGGAATTCAAGCGTGATAGTGTGATTTTTTTATATTTGGCTGGAAAACCACAAGTGGCTATCGTTAGATCACTCCAGCATTTAAATGTGAATAAATCTTTTGCGTATCGTACCATCGCTCGTCACCGTGATAGTGGTAGCGTAGCCCGACGTCAAGGAAGTGGACGGAAGAAAACAGCAATATCAGCAGAAATGCTTCGAAAAGTAAAGAAGCAACTTGATCGAAATCCGCGACCCACTGGCCTACTGACCATATCGCAATATTCCATTCGGCAGTGGAATATTTACCCCGGGCTCGGGGTAAAGTGCAAGAATTTACACCGGAATAGAAAGAAAATAGACTCAAAAGAGCTAAACAGTTGCTTCGCTTGGCCGAAAGTGGCAAACTGCCGAATTTGGGTTTCTCCGATAAGAAAACATTTACAAACATCCAGCAGTTTGTAAACAAACAAAAAGATCGTGTTTACTTGCCAAAGAGGTCAGCTGTAAATGTGCACCTTCGGTTGGCCACCAGAACTCAAGCGCCGGCCATTGTGATGGTGTGGTAGTAGTAGTCGACCCTCGTAGTAGTCGACCCTAGCATCAGAATAAATGCCGAATATTATCGCAAACATAATCTGGAGGGTGTATTAAAACCTTGGGCACGCAAACATTTTGGTCGCAGACCTTGGACATTTCAACAGGACTCAGCACGCGCCACCCAAGAATGGTTACAAAATGAGGTTCCTCGCTTTATTTCCAGCGCACAATGGCCACCAAAATCTCCGAGTACCAATCCGTTGGACTATTGTGTCTGGGGTTTTTTTGGAAAGCAAGGTTGGCACTAAAAACTGCCAATACACATTGGATCACCAAAAATCCGCAGAGCAACATTCGGGCAGCGAGTGACGATTTCATTTGCCGTTTGAAGGGCATAATTCGTGTCAAAGGTGACCAATTCGAACAAATCTAAACCTATTCTAAAATTTGATGCTATTTCCGACATTTTTTGCTTTCATATTAAAAAAATAAATGTAAAAATTATGACGTTTGACTTTTTTTCAGTTCTTTTTATCTCACCCTGTATATATTCATTATAAATTTGATGTAAGATATTTTTTTACAGTGCCTAAAACAGAAAATATTTCCAGAAAGGCCAGTTTCCACATCGTGATAGAGTCATATGTAAAGTGACTTTTTTTCATTTTATAATTAACAGTTTTGTAGCAGACTTTTAAGCGCGCCCAACAATTTGTAAACTTATGTGAAACGCTATAAAATATATTACAATGCTATATAATGTAGATGTATTATATTTATATTACATTTATACCATGAATATATACTATATTGTAAAGCGTTTCCTTTCATATAAAAAATTGTGTGAAACGCCTTAAAATATGCTATAAGAATACTTAATATAAATGAAGAGAAAGTAAGTTTACATATTACTATCATTATGCATATACTAGCCTTAAGAAATTAAGTTCGATAAATTACAATCAGTTTTTCTTATTTATTCAAACATACCAATTAAATAGATATATTTTTTGGGAAATTCAAACCACTATTTTTCAAAATTATTTTCGTTTCAAATACCTTGTTTTTCACTGTTGGTTTCTATGCCTAGTTATTGCTTTTTATGTTTGCATTTTTTTATATTTCCTTTTAAAAACGTATTTAAAATTCTATAGAATTGGTGTAGTATTTCCTCTCATAATTAAATTAAATGTCTATTTTCTTTTTCTTAGACTTAATATGTAAATAAGTATGTATTAAATGTATGTATATTATGCAATTTTTTCTTGTATATTTCTGTTTATACGTTGAAATGTATTAAAAAAAAACAATTGTTATTGGTTTAATGAAGGTACTTTGTCACGCAGAATGTTTGAATGACCAGATTTAAAAAAATATACATATATTTATGAATTAACAAGTACAATATACAAATTATATGCACAAATATTTGTGATCTGTATATATATAACCAACCATGTTTGTATTCAAGCATAAAGGGGAAAATTAAATCACCTAAGACGGAGCAAAATTAAGACAAAAACAATAGAAAATTATATTTTGTATCGAAAGACCAAATTCTTTGAAAAAGGTTTTTTACAAAGAAAAATTTTATATTTTGATAGAGACAACGCCAGTCCTCTAAAAACCGTAATGACTTTTCAAGTATAAAGACATTAAAAAAGATATTGAACAATACTGCTAAAATCATAAAAATACCGAATATAGGGAGTTACGTTATATTGGGTCCTATACGAAGACGTGACCTATGTATGCAATATTTGTCATAGGTCATTACGATGTTCAAATAAGAGACTTGAAAGAATTCCACCGAATAATGTCGCTAAAGTCATTAAAATACCGAATGTAGGGTGGTACCGTTATATGGGGTCTATACGAGGACGTGGACCTGTGTTAGCAATTTTCTGTCATAAGATGTACTACTCATTGGGAACTTTAAATTCCAAATTTGAAGTATTTTCGGTGAAAAGTGTGACACAAATAATCAAAATACACAACATTAGTGCAAAATTTTCTTAACATGTAGTGAGAATATAAATGTCTTCTATTTGGTATATTAGAATATTATTATCTCTCACTTCATCCTTCTATAATGATGCTTTGTAGGAGAATTTTTCATAAATTAATATAAAGTATGGCTTTAACCCTAAAATGTATAGTTGCATTTTGGGACCATTTTTTGTAGAATATTTGGACTTGCTAGGAGTTTTTAACTATATTTTAAAGAAAAGTCCAAAAGAACATCTTGGTGACTCGTTTGGGGATTAAAATTTTTGACCAAAATAATCTTTGTATGTCTAAAATGTTGGGATTTCAAAGAATTTTTATCGGAAAATTTAAAACATGCAGACTTTTAATAGCTGTTTTTAAAAATAAAACCTCAATATCATTTCGACCGAAGTAAACTTTACCCCTCATAATAAGAAAAGTTTAAACTATATGGACCTATGCCATTAATAAATACATTTGTAAAATGGTTTTCTGCTCTTTACAAATCCGAAACAGTCGACTGAATCTTCAATTGATTGATGTAAGAGAAGGCTTTCATACATCTTTATTTGGTTCAAAAGTTGGAATTATTTCGAAAAAATAATGTGTTTAAAATAAGAGCAAGTTATTTTTTCAAAAATTATCCTTAACTGTTCCCACGTCCTAGCCGAAGATGAAACCCACTAGAGCTGTCAAACCATGACATTCATATTGTTTTGGACGAGAATAATAGAAAAGAAGAATGTCGGCACGGTTCAACATATTGGAATACATGCCATCAAATGATCGCATATCTGACTATAATCAACCAATTGGTTGGCGTAGCTATGCTGAGCAAGAATTAAATGCATTGAAAACGTCCAAAAATGCTCATTTAACCCAATTACATCAAGAAAGAACTTTTCCTCTTAAGAGGACTATACAGATGGACATCATTCTGGCTAGGTCGACTTAAATTCCCGTCCAAACAGCCATGGATCTAAAGCCGTTATTTTGATGAGTATATTTTAGTCAAATGCTTGTCGAAGGTGGTCGAAGCTTAAAACGGTGTTAGAACCTGTAGCTATCATGCCGACCAGTACTATACTCCAACTAGATGTTCTACATTATGCCACCAATTCAGGCTCAATATGAACCGCGGTCACTGTTGTCTCACAGAATTTAGTCCTGAAAGGAATGATAATATTGGTGCTTAAGGATAACATTCAATCCACATCTGTATTCAATCTTCATCTCTGTGAATCACAACCACCCTAATGCACTATTAGATATCTGCACTCCTACAAGTCTAGACGCTTGCGGCACACGTTATCAGGTTAGAATTGGCAGCCGACCTCATACAAGTTTGACAGCAAACAAACCCGGACTGATGATCCGGTCCCATCACATAAATATGACGACTCATGCACAGGACAAGTACTCAGCCTGTTTACTAGAGACTTCCGGTCATAAACAGACAATCGACAACACATAAGGAGGGTCCCACAACGTGCCACAGAGGCGAAAAGAAACGACGTCTACCAACGTAGGGATTATAGTAAACTATATTATTTACCACAGCTAATCAACGTTCAACGTTGAAACAAGCTGAAAAAGGCAAGTCTATATATACAATTCATAAAAAAATTACCTCCAAAAAGTCTGGACCTTCTCTCTGAAAAATGCACAAAGTACTTTTTTCGTCCTCGGAGCGTTTGTTAAAATCCAAAGGAATTTTAATACACTGGAAAAGTTTATAAACGATTAAAGTTAGAATTCGAATGGATTGCGAACCTGTTCGAATAGCTAGGAAACGTATTTTAAGACCGGTCACTCAACTTAAAAATGCACAATAAAGGGATTCTGTTTATTTGGTCCTTCGCTTGCAATTAAAGCTGGATTTACACAATTGAAATTTTCTTCAAAATGTTTTAATTTATTTGGTCAATAAATGTTGAAGAAATGTTGCTGTTTGCTCCAGTTTGAACCACTTTGAAGAAAATGTTAATAGAGTAAATCTGGCTTAAGTCATTTTATTGCTGATCATCTCGAATATTAAATTTATGTTGTGCTTAAAACTGTATTTAACATTTTTCATTCTATCAACATTATCACTTTCCCCTTTATCACATTCTTTACAAAAATGATTAATGTGGGCCCAATATTGGACTGCGTCTTTTCAAACTATAAAAAAAAAACAAAAAAATATATGTTCTTAAAAAAATTGGATATTATCGCTATTGTTTATTACAAGTGCAAATATATTCGGTTGTTATTATTTGTTTATTTGTAATGCGTTGTTCTTACTATGGTTTTTAATTGAAAATCTAAAATTTTTACTCTTTCTCTGTTTTTGTAATTGTTGTTGTTGATTTGTTTCACTTTTCTTTTAAAGTACATTATGTTGTTTTTGTATTTTTTTTTTTCACTTTGTTAAAATCTAAGGACTAACTATCACACTCCAATGTTTGTATTTTTAAAAATTTGTTGAAATTATTTCTTTATGTTGATGTTTTTGTAGTTTTGTTAAATCTCGTTTACTTAAAATATTGCCTTTGCCCATGTTGTTTTTTTTTTTGTTATTTTCTTCTGATTTGTTAGCTTTAAAATGTGTTGTTTTGTTGTTTTTGTATTACTTCACTTAACCTACAAATATATCTACAATTAATTATACGAGATATGAATAACAAAAATGAAAAAAATACAACGAAAAATTAAAAAAATTGTATATATATAAAAAACCATTATGAATGAAAAATGTAAAAAAAAAAAACAATAATAATTATTATAATAAGAATCAAATGCCTCTCGCTCTATTTCTCTCACATGATATCTTCTCTAAATTTCATTCTTTGTTTCGAGACCTATTTTCAAACAAAACAAAAAATTACGCTATGCTCTTTACATCATGGGATCTGATAAAGCCCCAACGCCCGCTTGTTCTCCTTGCAGAATGATGGCCATTCTTCTTTATGCATTCTACCACGCCTTCTTTAATCTTTTGCCGCAGGTGTCAAGACACCCTTATGCATTGGTTGCTATTGATGACTTTTGCTCAACAGATGAGCATTGAATTCGTACACATTGTTCAGCTGTTCCCCGCAAATATTACATTTCCATGGATTACTTTCACAATGACAACCCTTGTGCAGGAAGTAGAGAGTTTCGTCGGGAAATTCAATGCCACAGAACAGACAAGTGAGTATTTGTTTCCGATTGAGACCAGCCGAATCGTTTTCGGGTCCGGTCGATGTTATGGTGCCATTACAAATCGGCGTAGTGGACGAAGTGGCAGCTCCACATGTTGGTGTCAAACTGCTTTGTATCACATTATTGTTTTCCATGGAGGCAGCATTGCGAGTAATACGATTATTGGCCTTGGCACAAATACGGCGTTTCAGATCTTCCCGCAGCAATGATTTTAAGGGGGAAACCTAGCCATAAAAAAACCACAACAATAAATAAAAGCATTTCTTGGTATTTTATCTCCTCATACTTACCTTGATCAGCGACGTTAGTCTCGTATTTGGTGCTGAGAATTCCGATTCACTGCTATCGCCACCATTCATGGTCTCGCCATTGATAGAATTCTTGCCAGTGTCCTCGCTGGGAGGTTCCTAATAAAAATCAAACATGAATCAGTTTATTTTCATAAAACAACATTTCCTCTTCCTTTCTCTTCAATTTAATTCCCATTAAAAGAATCGAAATATATAAAATTAATATAAGTTTTTTTTTGCCACAAGACCCCAATTAGCAGAGAAAAGCTTCTCAGTCGAGGTGACATTAATTTTAACTATGGAAAACTCATATATGAAGAATTGAAATCTTGCTATAGAAACCGCTATTCGCCTAAGTTTATATGAACATTTTCATTAAACTTCTGAAGTTTTCCTATGGGAAATTTTATGCAGTCAAATCATTTGAAGTTTGGCTATTTAAATTTTTTATTCAACCAAGCTGAGTTGAAGCTTTCCCAAGCAAAATTCTAATTTTTAGTTTGGCAGAACTGAATCGAAGTTTTCTCAAAGAAAATTCAATTCAGCCAAAGTGAATCGAAGTTTTCCTACAGAAAATTCAATTCAGCCAAACTGAATCGAAATTTTCCTATCCTTAATTTTCCTTAATGCTGTATTGAAAATGGAAAAAAAATCAGCTCAGCTGAGTAGAAATATCTTTGAATTTCCTGTCCGAAAACTGTTATTTAGACAGATTGATTTGAGTTTCCCTGTGGGAAAACTTACCGAATTAGGATTCTCCTGTGGAAATTTCACTGTGTAAAATGTATTTTCCATACACTGAATACATACGGACAGATTTGTTCTCCTAAACCTTATCGAAATGATGGCTTAATTTTTCACTCAACACTTTTGTTCCCAAAAATAAAGTTAACAACAAAAAATATTTTCTTCCACTTCATAACCTACCCTCCACATCCGGAGCATGTTCATTTATATAGTATATATTTTCGGGAAAATATATTTAAATTAAGTACTACATCAACAACAACGTCTCCGGAAACTTACACTGACCTGCTTAATTGGTATGAGACTAATGGAGGGCGTTATGTGATTCTCATGATGGTTCTTCGGTGATACGGAAGTCAAGGCACCACATAAAGCTCCACCCGGTCCCATACTACCGACACCGTTGCCACTGCCACCGCCACCGCCGCCGCCGCTGCTGCTGCTGGCACTGCTACTGGTACTTGAAGGCAACGATTTGGCATTACAATCTAGCGGATGTTCTTGTGGCGGCATATTTATGGTCAACGGCACTGGTGACTCCATGAGGGTGTCACGATCATTGGGACCCATCACATCTCCCGTGGTACTGCCGGCCGATGATGTGGTCGTATTGTTGTTATTATTGTTGCTACTGCTATTGGGGGTGTTGCTGGCATTGGTGGTGCTGGTGTGACCCTGCAAATCAAATGCACGCAAAACGCATAAGAGGACATTCTCAACGGACGAACGAGTATAGAATGAAGTAGAGGAAGTCAATGAGTTTACTACAGACATAAGAGAATCATTAGAATTGGAACATTGATTTACATTGAACATAGCGTTATCCGAGAGGCCATTGTCGGGTAGTGTTGAGATCTCCACGTGGGGCGTTAGGAAATGCATTGGCGGTGTTGCATTTTCCAGGGAGCGTAGCGATTCACCGCTGTCGCTCTGGTGGCTGGGCATGCTGTTGGCGGCCGAGACAATGGCCGCATTGGAATTAACTGCATTAGCAGCAGCTGCGGCCGCTGCTGCAACGGCATTCAGACCAGTCGGCACATAACCGGCTGCAGCGGCGGCGGCAGCCACCTGTGATGCCTGTGACTCCAGAGCGAGTAACAGCGACGAAGAACCGCCCGGTCCAGGATTGTCCAAATCAATGCCATGTCTAAACCAAAAAAAAAAAAATTACAATTAGCTATTTAAATTCGTGGTGTGAATGGAGCGACAGACCTGTTGAAGAAATGTATCCTTAAAGATTTCATGGATCCAGCCCTGTAACTACACAATGGACAGGTTTTGACGAGATCATGTTGGCCCACATGCTCATTTTGGAAATGGGCCCGCATGGCAATTTGTCGCTGGAAACCCCGATTGCATATCGGGCAATGATACGGCAGCGTTTTTGTGTGTGTGGTAAAATGTTCCGCCAAGTGATCTTTGCGAAAGAATCTAAAAAAAAAAAAAAACAAACAGACACAAATTATTGCAACATCCGAGCCACCAGCCATAAGAAACCAGTTGCTTACCTCTTTTGGCACACTCGACACTCATAAGGCTTGACACCGGTGTGTCGCATTTTATGACGTCTCATGTTTGCACCATTCGAAAATTTCATATTGCAGACATCGCATTCGAACACTTTGCGGGACGCTGGCTGAGACGGATTTGTTGAATTGGCTGGGGCAGTGCAATTGCTACCATTGGCAATGGCGCTGACCACACCCCCACTGACCGGTGTTACCGAACCCCCCGGATGCTGATCTGGACCGCCACTGCTCGTTGCCGAGTTCTGTAGACTATCACCCCCATCGACATCTTCGTTTTTAAGGCGTGCTGCGGCAGCAGCTGAATTCGATAAACATTGTACTACATGCAAGAGCAATGTGGCTCGGGAGCTTGTCTCGAAATTGTCACAGCGTTCGCAACGGAATGTTGTAGGATTATTGGAGGCATTTGAATTGCTGTTGTTGTTGTTCGTTGAGAGATTTGTTGGCGATATACTGACATTGGCTGTAACTGGTGTGGAGATGGGCTTCTCGCCACCATTATCTGAGGACGAAGACGACTGATCTTCGGAGCTGTGGTGTAGCTGAAGCTGTTGTTGCTGCTGCTGGTGATGATGATGGTGTTCTTTAAGGCTACGCAAGGCATGAGCGTGTGAGGCTAATGTATTGTGATGTAACAGTGACGCTGTTGTTGACATATCAACAATGAGTCCATTATCTTTGAGCGATAGCTCCATTTGACCGGCAGAACTCATTGTGTCGGTCATTTTGCTGCAAAGAAATTGGAAAAGAACAAGAAACGGTTAGTTACGTTGATGGGGGCAAATTAAAATAATAATATAGCTCTCAATTACTTGGGAGTGAGAAATGAGATTCCTTCTTTAAAAAAATAAACTGAATGATTTTTTTCTATCAAAAAAATAAAGACATATTTTTTTACAAGCCGATTTTTGTATAGAAAAAAAAATTAGAGAAACAATGGCAGCGTCTTTTTTCAATAAAAAAATTCCTCTGAGATGACGTCAGTTATTATTCGATAGAAAGGCCTTTTATATAGAAAAACCTAAATCTTTATAGAAAAAAAAAACTCTATAGAAAATAATACATTAGTTTCACAGGTTAGATTTTATATAGAAAAACATGCTTCTCCAGCTGAGGTTAGATTTTTTCCTATAGAAAAACGATATCAGAGGTCAACATTTTTTGATGCAGGAAAAACACCTCACTGAGGACAGGTTGAGAATTCCCCATTAGCTACCAAGAAATATATTCTTTAAAAATAAGTATTCTTTGATTTTCCATAGAAACTATTTGTATATCCAATAGCAAATCTGTATGTACGTATTTATAAGACCTCACCTGCCCGCAGTTCACTTACCACCGATTATTTTGAAAAGATCAAATACTTTTTACTAAAGCTTTTTTAAAAACAAGCTCCCATTATCAAAATCACATCGCGTCAGCTTTATCAACACTTAATGTAGTTGAAGATTATGATTGATCGTTGACGTTTTTCGATGCTGGATTAAGGTCTCTGCAAGTGAACTTTCAACTCAACCTACATTCACAAATACAGCTTGCATTGACAAACGAGCTTAAGCACAGCATGGTCAGCCGAGACCATTTGGATGGGGAAGTTCGAAAATACATACTCATATGCGGGATTAACATATGTAGGTATTTGCGACGAATTTGATCTCAATTTTTCAACACTCAACTAAAATAAATACATGAGAATGAAATGCTGCTACTGTATCTAAACATATCCATGGCACACATGTCGGATATGAGTACGTATGTACGTATGTGCATGCACATATTAGTAAAACACTCATACTTCAGTGGAAACTGCAATGGAGGGATTTTATAGACGAATAATTGGAATTCAGCACTAGGTTGAATTGAGGAAAACATGAATTTAGCCCCCGCTGAATTGTGATTTGTATCGGAAAACTTGAATTCAGGCCCGGTTTTATTGAGTTTTCCCATAGGAAAACTTAAATTCCGCTTCGAATGATTTCGCTGGAATTCAACCCAGGTTTACTTGAATTCGGCCCCGCATAAATTGAGTTTTTCCCCGGCTGAAGTGTGGTTTTTATAGAAAAGTTTGAATTCAGCCCTGGCTTAGTTCACTTTTCCCTTAGGAAAATAAAAATTCAACTTCGGCTGACTTTTGATTTCTATAGGAAAAGCTGGAATTCAGCGCACTCAGCCCTGCCTTGACTTGAAACTTAAATTTAGCACCGGCTGAATTGTGGTTTTTATAGGAAAGCTTGAATTCAGGCCAGGCTTGACTGACTTTTCCCATAAGAAAACTTACCCAGGCTTAATTGACTATTCCCATAGGAAAACTTAAATTCCGCTTCGGTAATTTTATTTTTCTATAGGAAAAGCTGGAATTCAACCCCAGAAAACTTAAATAATTGGTGTTTCTAAAATAAAATTTCAATTTTTTAATGATATGTATGTCAAAAACCTAAGTTAATTCCATATGGAATTTATATAGCTCCCCAGGGAATTTTATATTGCAGGGAAATCCCCACTTTTCAAGAATTTGTTTTTATCCCCAAAATAGCAACAACAAAAACACAACTAATACAACAGATTACTTCTACAACCATATACATAGCCAACAGCATGTTGTACAATAGCTAGGTCGTCGTTAGATACGACGAACGCATGCAAGTGTAAAGCAGAGCGAGCAGAGCTTGTGCTCAATTTTACTTGCTTGGTTTTTGGCTATACGGCCGTCAAGCCAGCCTACCTGCTTGCCAGTCAGTCAGCCAGTTAGTCAGCTATATAAACTAGTTTCTGATGCGATTTCCCAACCCATGGACGGTTCGTCATAGAGGACGTTGTCGTCATCATGCTGCTGCCGATTGGTTTGGCTGGTTGTTTGGCAGACCAAAGAAGTCGGCGTCTCGACTAGCCAAATGTTATGGTAAAGGCATTTGGAACATTGACTCTGTCGCAAAGAAAAAAAAACAGTAGTTTGTGTTTTTGTATTCCATCAGGTGGATATGGGCAACAACAGTAACAACAAAAACAGCTATTAAGCATGCATTCTATGTGCAATATTCGGTATGTGTGCAGCCAGCCAATTCGATGTTGTGCTAAATGTGAATATTTTTTGGCTGATGATGATGGTAATGGTAATGGCGCTGGTGGTTGAAGATTTCAAGAATATTTTTGTTGTTGCTTCTATAGTTTCGTGGCTGCTGCTGTTTTTGGCATATGGTAACCCACCAGTGTACTTTAGCCATTATAGAAGTTATTGAACAGCCAGCTAGCTAGCACAGGTACGTCGTAGTCAGATGGATGGATAGATAGATAGATACTTATTGCGAAAATAGACGTGTTTCGTAGCTTCAACCCATAGACTTTTAGACTATGGCCCACCATAGAAGAAGCAACACTAAAAAAAGATGTTTTATGTTGCAATTCTTTTTTTGTCTTGTTTTTGGAACGTTTTGGTTGTTTGATTTGATGGGGTTTTATTTGGCGATTTTTTGTGGGTTTCTAAAGAGTTGAGTAACACTTGAAATAAAAAATAAATATGATTTACAAAATAGGCAGAGCAGCAAAACGCAAATGTTAGAGGATGAAGTGTTAAGACTCCAGGTGCAAGTGCCAATGGGCCACAAAGCTATAGGAATAATGTATTTTGGCTTGAATGAAGATTTTAATAGAATTTAGCTTTCAATGATCTTTGATTTAGCTGAGTCTGATTGACGATTTTGCACTCGGTCAGCTGAAACGCAATTTCTATTGGAAAACTTGTATCTAACACAGGTAAAAGCTTTAACCTGTCTCATAAAAAACGTAAATTCAGCTGGAGCTGAACGAACTTCAGTTTTCCTAGAAAAAAAAACTCAATTCAGTCGGCGCTGAATTCAAGCTTTCCCAAAGAAAACTCAATGCCCCCGAGGCTGAGTTTAAGTTTTCCCATGGTACAATGATATCAAGGTAGGGCTATGATACCATATGAATTCAATTTTGTTTTGATTCTAATTCTGACATTACAAGCCAAACAGGTAGACCTCTATACTTGCAATTTTTTCAAAGTTGGCCTACCTTTTCTTCATTGTACCATGAGTTTTCCCATAGAACATTCAAGTGAATTCAAGTTTTCACATATTAAACTTAATTCACCCGTGGCTGAATTTCAGTTTCCACATAGAAACCTCAATTCAGCCAGGGCTGAATTCAAGTTTCCACATAGAAAACTCAATTCAGCCAAGGCGGAATTCAATTTTTCATATAGAAAACTCAATTCAGCCGGGGCTGAATTCAAAATTTCCAGCCATTTACAGTTTTTATAGGAAAATCAAGTAAAATGTTTCTTTTAGCCGGGCTGAATTCATTTTTTTTTTTTCTATAGAAAAATCAGTTTAGCCAGGCTAAATTAAATGTAATGTGTAGAAAAATAACTTTAGCTAAGCTGAATTCAATTTTTTCTATAGAACACAACATCCGAAGGTTTTCTATTGAGGACAAGCTTTTTATGTGTCTTCTAAGAAAAGGAACTACTCTAAGAAAAGAGGCCCTATTTGACAAAACCCCTTACGAGGGTTTCTATTAAAGTAATCGGCTTTTGCAGATTCCTATAAAAGAAGGCCCATTCGAAGTCTTATATAAAATAATGTCTCTTTCGACATCTTCTAAGAAAGAGGACCCTTCCGCAGATTTCTACAGAAGAAAGCCCCTTCGAAGTCTTCTATAAAAGATCGCCACTTTTGAGATTTACTAAGAAACGGAACCTACTGCGTTGCATAAGAGAAGGCTCTCTTTAAGAGTTTTTATGAGAAAAATCCCTTTTTAAGATTCATACAAAAGAATGTCACTTTATGGTCTTCTTAAAAATGAAAGTGGTACCACAAGAAAGTGGTCAGTTTAAGGTATTTTTACCTTCAATTTTTCGAGGGTTTTTATAAAAGAGCTCCCCTTTCGAAGATTCATACGAAAGAAACATACCCCGTTGGAAGTCTTCGATTCGAGAATTCTTTTTTTTTTTGTGGGGGGGTCTTCTAAGAAAGAGGTCCTATAAGAGTTCTTGTACCAACAGCTTTCTTCTATAAACAATAGCTCTTTCAAAGTCTTCTTGTATGAAAGAAATCCCTATTTTAAGTTATTCCATAAAGAAGCGATCTCTTTGTTAGATCATCGTCAATGACCAAAATGGTTCCTTCGAATATTTTTCATAGAATAAGACTATTTTGATTTCAAAGCCGTTCTCTTTTAAAAAAAAACTACCTCTTTTGAGATCTTCTGTTAAAATTTCCTCTTTCCTCATAATTTTTTAAAGAGTTCTCATTTTACGGGCGTCGATAAAAGAGAAACGAACTTAACGTCTTCACAGTAGTTTTCATAGAACAGACATTTTAAATTTCTTCTATAAAAGAAAACATCGTTTGATTAATTCTATGATAGAATATTTATAAGGGAGAGCATTCTGTTTCAATGATAGAGGAGAGTCCCTTGTTGAGTCCTTTTAGTAAAGTCATTTTTCTTGGAAGACTGCCTCTTTTGAGGTCGGCTATAAACCAATAGCTTACATAGAAGGAAATTTTTTTAATTTCCTCTATAAATGAAACCATCTTCTGATGAATTGTATGAGAGAATATGTTTAAGGAAGATCTTTTTTAAGGTCTTCAGTACGAGAAGAGCTAGTTAAACGTCTTCTTTAAGGGAACATTTCTCTTTAGGATAATAAAAGAACATTAGGTCTTTAGGATAATAGAAGATTTCATTTGATGTTTTTGATAATAGAA